GTTTTTTACACACTCATTTTCTCAGTCACACCCTCCAAAAGCGAGGCGTGAATTCAGATGGAAATGAGGGCAGAACATTCGAATGGGGTAGCGATGCAGCCGCCTGGGAAAGAAGTCTGATGATTGAGAGGGTGGATTGGGGGTGGGATGAGAAGGGGCTGTGAAATATCTGTGTCGTTCCACCGGCCTGGTTATATACTCGCAGTGGACAGGGGTCAAAATAAGGGAGGAGCACGCTGTCTCAATATTTTGGACTCGCAGCAAATTATATCAGGCACTTGGCCAAGAATAAGTACCCCAATAAGATCCAAAATTGTGGTACGTTAAAGCGGTCTAAAACCGCTGACTCTTTGAACAGCATTTCAAACCAAAATCAGCGAACAATTCACTGATACGTCGACGTGTAATAAATTAAACTGCAAGTTGACGATACTCGAGGCTTCCTTCAGTCACAAAGGAAATATTTCGTAACTTCCTTTCTGTGAAGGGTTTCCGGTGTTGCGTTAGGGTGACGAAAGAGCAAAGGGTGTCCCATTGGGAGGTCGCAGCAGCGATTGTAATATTCAGAATTTGAAATAATAACGAAATCAAATAGGGGCAAACCTGGCCCACGGGAGGTTCCTGTGTTCTCAGAGGGGGGTCATTCTGACTTATTTCCAATCACCTGTCAATGTTAGGGAAGTAAAATCAAGGGGTTCTGACGTAACTCCTCCCCTGACAACTCACTCACCCCTTTTAACAGCTGGTCACCCTATTTATTACAAAACAGGACAGAATTACAAGATTAAAAGGCCGGTAAAAGAATACGTGGGGAGAGGTATTCCAAGTTGATGAAAATCAGGCGCGAAATTGTGCTCAAGAGAGTCAGCCAAAGGGTGCACAGGGATTAAGGAAACAAATGTAACGCTCTGTGCCGCTCAATGGCATCGACATGATTAATTCGTTCTGACTTTTTGAATAAGAAAGGCTTGACTGAACGTTTTGCACAGATTTCGTGTAGAAACCTGGTGATAACACGACGTGAACATGGCTCTGTCGCGTGTCCTTTTTATCATGGTAACAACCGATCCTCACATAATTCACTTAGTCATCTAACCGTCTATTAAAACAGCGAGCCAGTGCATTAAAATCTTCGCCGATAAAAAAAGAACGTCGTTAAGCTTTGATTGATGATCACGACAAAACATCAGCGGATCTAGTTTCAATTCTTTCCGATAGGGGAGTTTGAGCTTGTGAGTTCGGAAAGGTCACAAAATTTATTTTGTGCAAGGGGGGAGAGGAGAGAATTTTAATTTCGAGGGGGGGGAGGAAGGTTTTCAGGAAGTGTAATATTACCTTAAGGAGTTTACAGGATTGAAATGTGTTGAAAGTCAGTCTATTTGCTCTAAAATCTAATAGTCTGTAGTACGCCTAAACAGAGTTTTTAACAAAAAAATTCTTTGACTTTTCATCGTTCGTTGGTCCAGATGTCACTTCATTGCGCGTACAAATCTACTGCTGACACAGCTACTCAATCTATGGAAAACACTAAGGTGGATGGTCGTGTAGAATGAAAGGAGTGACTAAGTGGCAGAAATGTGAGGATTTTAGAAATTTATTTATAATTAACAAAATGACCGATGACACCAAAGAATTCAAGCAGAAGTGGATAAATCATGTTCACGTATATCAGGGTACAGACTACGAACCAGAGTTTTTGAATTAGATTAACTGAACAATCTGTGTAAACTCAGAACATGTCTAATGGGCCTAAAGATTGCCAAGAATAATATTAAAAAGCACGTGAGTGAAATAACCTCTTACCTTAAATAAGAATTTGGTTACATGAATCATGACATATTACTGCATTTAAAAAGAATCCAAGTTAAATTTGGCCATGGACTAAATCATACCTTAACGACAGAAAACAACGGACAGATAATTTTCACTTTGAACGCAAATTGAAAGTGGGACATTGAAAAATATGGAGCTCCTCAAGTTTCCTCACACAGATCCATTATCTGACTTCAACGATCAATTCTTCATGCAAACTTATACTCTTTGTTGATGACACACGTATTATCATCATTATGAAAGTGACTACCTTCAAACTTCCATTAATCACGTCTTTCCTAGCTTAAACAAATGGTTTATAATCAACAATATATAATGTTGACAAAACTAACAATCATTATGCATTTATATTGACATGAATTATGTCCTTTATTATTTCTGTAAAGGATCTACAGAATCTAAATAAATTATTACTTCGTAGAAAAAAATAATTCAGTTGAAAATTGTTTAAGTACTCGAAATATTTATGAAGAAAATATTTATCTGACAATAATTTTGCTCTGTGTAACAATGTGTATACCTATAAAAGAAGTCTGCAAATAGCTGTATCAACTACGGATGCTACTTATACTTAAATCCATATCGGTATTAATTATTGTATTTGTATTAAGCTTTGTATCCATATTATGACGTATTCTACATCCTTGGATTAGTAACATCAAAGGTCAAGACAGGCTTAATTACAGACTTCAGATTGGTTTGTTGCATTCAACGCCAGACATACGTACTCGTATAACCTAACCTAACCTAACCCAATCCAACTTAACCTAACCTAACCTAACCTAACCTAACCCAACCTAACCTACAGCCTTCCATTATGAAGGACACCAAAATAGAAAATATATTTAATTTTAATTGCAAGAGTAACCTCAGATTTAACTGTGATATGTTCCTTAAAAAGGTGGTTGATTTTGGAGTACCATTTGTGCACGAGGGTCATAACTTATGGGGGGGGGGGATTTCTTGTTCAACCAAACAGAAGTATTATTAACTTCCCTCTTGTGTTAAACAAGGAAGAGATAACTTTACCAGAGTGTTAATATAGCTTTACTCAATAATAAAAAATGTTAAAAACATTGACAATTGAGTAACGTAGTTCTTATAACTAGTTACTGTAGAGTACACGCCCCAAATCAGCTTACCTTAATGCACAACGTAGAAGAATTATTTGCTGCCTTGAAGGCTGTGTTGGAAATTCCTTCTTAATCCACCTGTAGTTGAATTGCGTCCCTTTCCGTGTCTTCTTAAAGGTCAACAATCTTCTGACTACAAAAACACAAAAGGAATCTTTCGATATCAACTATTCACAATGGCTCCTGGTATCAAACCTACGTCCGACTGCTCACGATAGACGACCGATTATTCATCTGCACAAGTGCATTCTAGAAGTCCACCAATTCTTTCAGTCGAATAGACGGCGATCGACCTATCGATCGAATTACAGGAACAGGCCACATGGATCTCGAACGATACGTCACCGAAATCACCACGTTTAATAGATTAAAGCCAATAAAAAATAATATTTCTACGCTGTCTTTCGTATTGCAAATTTTCAAAATATTACGACGAATCAGAAGCTCATAGCATTGGCCTCCATCATATCTAAATCGGGCCCTGGTCGGAGCGTCCATATTGACCGTGTTAGCCAGGCAAATGTTTTTTTAAAAAAAAAAATAACATTCCTCTGCCTCACTTCTGGGTTCACTGGTACTCCATACATTCGAACACCGCAGAAGATTTAGGATAAAAGGCATCTACAGCCAGCCGAGAATCCAACAGTACACAACAAATTTTAAACTCTCTTTAGAGCTTGCTGGTAAATATCTGTCTAACCTTCTTGACAAACTGTAGGTCTGCATTTATTCAGTGGGTGATTTTCAGTGTAGGAAGCGATTACTTCCTTAAACAGCGTTAAGAAACTGACATCCGTAGTTGGTGAAATGTTGTGTTCTCTTTGAGGTACGGACTGAACTATTAAATAACAGGAGACTGTCCGAAATTAAAATACAGGGAGTCACCGCGGCGACCTTGGAAACCTGAACGGCGTGTGTGACTCTGGCGTGGCAGGTGTGTTTGTCTTGTTGCACTGAGGTTAGGTTAGGTTAGGCTAAGGAAGGTAAAGTTTAGTCTGGTTGGGTTATGTTACGTTAGCTTCGGTTGTGTGAGGTTAGCCCAGGTTTTGATTGGTCGGGTTGAGCTACGTTAGGTTGTGTTAGGTTAGGGATGTTAACCCATATCCACCTCTCGATGCTTAAGAATGTGACAGGTTTCGTCGTTATTTCTGGCGTCGGTTTGCGACGATTGGCGTCCCGACTCTCGGCGTCGGTTTTCCAAAATCGTCTTCAATGGCATCCAGACGCCCACAGGTGGTATATATGGGGCCTGTTAGTGGAGTCTGACCGGATGGCGTCGCGACGCTCGGCGTCGGTATTCCAAAATCGTCTTCAATGGCATCCAGACGCCCACAGGTGGTAAATATGGCGCCTGTTAGTGGCGTCGGGTCAGAAGGCGTCGCGACGCTCGGCGTCGGTATTCCAAAATCGTCTTCAATGCCACCCAGACCGGTAATAAACATGGCGCCTGTTGGCGCGTCGCAACGCTAATCGTCCCGACGCAGCTAACAGGCGCCGTTAGGTTGGGTTAGGTTTGGTTGGTTTTTGTTAGGTTAAGTTTCGCTAGGTTAGGTTAGGAATGTTAACCAATATCCACCTCTAAGCGCTTAGGAATGTGACAGGTTTCGTCGTTATTTTTGGTGTCGGTTTGCAGAGTCGTGTCGTATTGTCCTACTAGACTTCTGTTGGTTTTGTGCGTGCTTTGAAATTGGCGTCGTTTAGAATCGTGATGCATGACGTCGGTTTTCCTGCCATTTGGTAGTGTGGAGGAATACAATGGCCATTTCTATTGGAACGACGTCGGAATTCCATCGCATCCAAAATTCCGACACTCATCTATGGTGAAAATGCGTGTTGTCGGCGTCGCGACGCCCGGCTTCGGTTTACCAAAACCGTGTTCACTTGCATCCAGACGCCTATCGGTGGTAAATATGGCGCCTGTTTGTGGCCTCGGGTCAGATATTGGAATATGGACGCCGAAATTTTGATTGGTCGTGTTCAGCTACGTTATGTTGGGTTAGTCAGGTTAGGTTTGGTTGGTTTATCGGTGGTAAGTGTGGTGCTTGTTAATGATGTCGCGACATTGAGATTGTTTCCCAGGATCATTCCTAAAGGCGTCGTGTCTTGGGTTCGTATCATGTGTGATCCCGAGGGTCACGCATCGTTAATTTATTTTAGCTATGATCTTACGGTGCTTAGATGTTGTTATATTATTTATCAATGGTTGTCAGACTTGCTTGTATTCGTTCAAGAAATCCGAATCGTCTGACAGGTTAGGATGTGTATTTTAATTTAATGTGGGCTTTCGTTATATTTGCATGAGCCCATTTCTCATGAATAACAAACTCTGATATAAATATGAAGGAAGATGATTATGAGGGTCACAACTGAAGAGACTCCATTAGTTTGGTACTATTTGAGGAAGTCATTTCCTTGAATGACACCAATGCACTTCAGGGCTCCCAATTTGTTGCTGCATTAAGCATACGAACGTAATACGAGTGGGTAAACATATCGATCGGTTAGATGGTAAGACACTTGGTGGCTAGTGTAAACGCAGAAGTAAGTTAGTATAAGAAGGAACACAATGACGATCGATAAATAGGTACCAGCTTTGTATCAATGAACTCACGACATATTTTAAGGATATTTCCACATAAGCCCATTTTTGTCTAGAATTTATGGTTTCAGACAGTTTACGTTGCACAAGTGTTGTGTATGGAGAGAAACTGTAACTAAGTTAAAAAGTAAGGTTATGTGCTAGAAAGGCACAAATGTGTGACGAATTAAATGTGAATATTATCATATACTTCGCGAATGTGAACTCGCTATCAATAACATAATTAGAACACTTTTAAATAATCATGATCACACAGTGAAGTAGGCTTACAGTTTTGAACCAGTCTGTAGTGATCGAAAGAAAACTAAATCATTCAAGCAGACGTGGTCGTTCCAGCATGTCTTGGGCAGGAAGACGGTAAACCGCAAGAAATGAAAAAAAAGCAAGTAAGAACTAGTCAAAAGTGGTCGTCATTATATTGTACTTACCTTGGTTGAAACGCCTTTGTTCTGTTCATGCTGGTAACTAACAGATGAATCTATCAATTCATAGGTTTTGTTGAATGTTGTACGCACACCGACTTTTTGCACTGAACTACGGAAGTAACTAATGACTCAGTCGAGATTAGACTACTGCGGTTTCCGGTGACATCGATATATATCGTAATCGTAAAATTACGTACGTAGTTTGCCTCATCAAAACAAAAGACAACCAACAGAATTATACTTTTGCTAGTAGGAAACTGAAATATTTTAAGAGATAAGTGGATAATATTAAAATGGATCTTAAACAGGGTGTACATGGACTGGATTCAGTCTGGTAGAAGTTTACCAATGTTTTATGACATAAAAAATCCCATATTTTATGCCAGACAGAAACAGAATCTAGGATCTTGAGGGAGGGACCAAAGTCTTCAATTTTTCATAATTAATATTAAGAAACAAGGACTAATATTTTCTGCTTCAGTTTTTAATCTCCAAATTTCAAATTAGAATTTAGCAGTATTAAGCAGTATTTTGCTACTAAGTACAAAGAAGTTTAATGTGAGCGTAAACAACATATTTGTATGTTGGCAGTAACTGAACCTGACAGCAGAAAGAGGAGTATAAAATCATAACACAATTTCCAAATCTGGCAGGATTAGACACCGGGTTACTTCCAAAGGCACAACGTGAAAATAATATTTGAGACACGAAGAATAACGAGAATTATGAGCAGATTATACCATCGCACTCCAAAACACATTACGACCGATTCCCAAATCTTCTTAATGGCGGGTATTTTATAAATCAGACTAAAAAAGGCATTCTTGCATGAAATTAAATTTTCGGAGAGCAGTGCCAGAAAAATAAAATACCGCATGTGCCGCCACATCCAAATCAGCTCTGGGCCTCGCCCGAT